TTTCCTTCTTGTTAAAGAGAGAGAGGGAATGACTTTTGGCGTGGGTCCTGCCCGGTGTTTCCGCCGTGGCTCTCACGGCCATCTCTTCCCCGGAGGAGAGGGTCCTGCTGGCGAGCGGGGAAGCTTGGTGGCATTAAAGCGTCAGTAGGATGTCATTTGTGCTGCAGGGAAACGTCGGGAAGGGCTCCCGATTTACCGAGACCACGGGGGATTTCAAAGTCTCGCTCCAAATAACTTGTGTTAAGAAGTGACGGTGTTTATTAGCGTCTTCAAAAACCTCAGCCCAGCCACAGGGACTTTCCCAGTCCAGCCAGAGGAAAGGGGCACTGGGGCTCAGGGGCTGCTGGTCGCTTCAAGCCATCCAGCCACTTTTCTCCTTTTCCAGTTCGTGCCTAAGACCCGCAAAGTGGACCTGTTAGCATAAGGTTTTATTTAATTTCTAAATATTTCTGTTACGCTTGTAGATAAAGTGCTATGAGTTAACAGCTTGACAGGCACTGTGCTCTGTTTCAGATTTTTTTCCGTCTTTTTCCTTCAACGTTCATAATACCCTAGCGAAGAACCATTTAGTTAGAATAACATTTTCCAGCTTTCCTTTGTGTCAGTTGCAGTAGGTTTTTTTTTTCTCTTGTTTGGGTCTTTTTATGCAGCAACAGACAAAAGAAACATTAAAAATTAATGATTATATTCCTTAACAGTATGTAGACTGAAGGGGTGGTTGCAAATTGTCTATTTTAATTTGGCTTGAATTAAATTTTCACAAAAACATTGTTGCCTTGAAAAACAATATAAATGACTCTAAATTAATACTTACAACAAATGTTAAAAATTCGACATCCTTCCTCCTTCGAGTAGCTGTCCTTTCAATCAATTTCCCTATATCAGAGACCATTCCAAAGTTCATACAGTTTTAAAAAAAAAAATCTTCTTAGTGCTTACTAAAAAAAAAATCTGTTAACATGAAGTAGTATTACTATCAAAAGAAGCAGAAATCTGTTAGTTTTTAATTTTCTTTAGATGGAAGAGCGTAATTACGCCAGTCATCTTTTTCTTTAAGTTCTTGTGCGTAAGTAGTTTTCCATAGGTCTTTGGGAGATTTCTCATACTGTGTCAGAAACTGAACAGAACGCTTACTGACCTGTTAACAATTCCTAAGAATGTTTGAATGTAAGAAAGTACAGGTAGGTCAAGAGCTAGTGTGATCCTCTGCTGTACACTTATATTTAGGCAGAAATATCCCACGTGAAATTCTTCCAAACTTACGTGTTCCAAGTAAGGATTCTGTAGGTAACGTTTACAAATAGGATGATGCTTTGTGAGTTTGCCTTCCCCTCCGTACTTCCCCCACCCGAAGCTAAAGATCTGTATCTGAAATCCTGTTGCCAAATTTTGTTTAATTTTTTGGATTTATTTGCATGAGACAAGGCGTTGTTGGAAGATGTTTTCTGGCTGGAAAACAGCTGACAAATGTGGAAAAGTGTTTTAGTTTTCTCATGCTTCCTGAGTAATCTTACAAGGAGTTTCAGCCTCACGTGGAAGACTTTTCTCCACAAAAGCTGTTGGGGAATCCATGCAGTGCAGGTTGTGCAGCCGCAGTGGGAGCTGCAGGTTGGGCTCTGGCTGGCGGGAGCCCGGGGCAAGAGGCCGGGAAGCGGTGCCGACCCTTTGCACAACAAAGGGCACCTGGATCTGTGGCCCTGCCAGGGCACAGGGACACAGCAGGAACCCAGGACTCAGCTGGAAGACCCCAGGTTATGGCACGCATAAGACTGGGAGGGTGTAAAAGCCCGAGGGGTCCTCGAGGAGCCCTCCTCTGAGGCACCAACTTGGGCTGTTACTCTGTTGTTGCACCATGAAAAAATTACCTAAAGGGACCAGAGGTCTGAGACTGCTGTGGGAAACCTGGGTCGAGCCGGCAAGGAAATCTTCTCTGACTGTGTGAGAGTGGATGGAGTCAAGCCCCCTGTGAGAAGAGACTTTGGTCCCAGCCGTGTAACTCTGGTGGTCAGAATGTGACTGCCAAGGTGGCTCCTGGGCTGTCAGACAGGAAAGTTTCCTTCTCAAATCATAGGTGCAGAGATATTTCTTGCTAATTTCCATAGTCATTTGAGGATGAAAGGGATCAGATAGGTATCTTTGTTTTTCTTATTGATGCCTACATCTCATAACTTTCTCTCTCTGTTTTTTTTAGCATACGGATTAACTGAGCCCTTTGACAAGTTTATGGAGCTGCCATCTCTCTGCTTGCTGTACTTTCTGTTTCTGAGAGGAGAAAGTGGTGCATGAGATTAGAGGAAAATGCCTCGGACAAAGCAGATACATCCCAGAAATCTGAGAGGTATGTAGCTCTCAGTTGAGAAGGAAAAACTCTTGGGAAGCTCGGTTGCAGTTTCAATTATGAGGTTAAAGGAATATGTATTTAAGAAGTTGGTTTTTGTTCCAAAAGTAGTTTGTAAGCAAGTTTTAGGAGTTTTCTGTGAGACAGCTCTAGTTTTCACAGAGAAATAACTGGAATATGTCCTTATTCCTGCAGTCTGTGTACTTGACAGCCTTCTTGATATTTTCCAGCTTACAGCAATAGCCAGCATGAACTTTGAAAATGCAAAGGAAGAAGCAGTTTCCTTATCAGAGAATTTACAGTTGAAATACAGGGGGAGGTGGGAAATGGATGTGACGTGGCAGAACTGGACATGCAGCCGGTAGTTGTTTTTCTTTAATAGTTGTCAGTTTGGCTTGGTTTTGAGGGGATCAAAAATCTCCTCCCATGCATGGCTTCTCACTATTTATCTATCACCTGTCACCCCTGCTACCTTGAGCATTGCTAGGTTTGACCTTGGTCTCCTCGCTCTCCTGCCTTTGCACAGCCACGGTAACTTGGCTATAAGGGGCAAGCAGGCAAGAAACCTGCTCTGCAAACTGGCATGCTTACATGTCCTGGCATTTCCTTGACCAAAATCCCAGTGCACTTTACCAAGCCCATATGAATGTGAGGAATCTGATCCTATGGATATTTGTTACTGCCTTGGTAAAAGTGGCCCTAGAGGAATTAAATGAGAGGAAAAATGCAGGTCACTTGACGAGCAGACATCCATGTTGAGGGAGAACACACTTCCATCCCCACCCTTTTACCCACTTTTGGGAGAACATGCTTCCACCTGCACCCCTACATGTAGCTGTCATCAGCTCTTTTCAGGTTAATTTTACAATTGCAGCATGGAAGCATCCCTTCAGTGGAAAAAAAGCCATTACAAAACCACAAATATCAACACAAGGCTTTAGGGGCAGGAACAGTATTTGATTCTGTTTTTAACTTTTTTTTTGTCAAAACACAGCAAACATCCTCATGTGTCTTAGTTTACAGTTGTGAGTCTCTCAAGGGCTCGTGCATACAGCTGTATCTGAGACCTCGTGTTTGCAGACTCTTGTCATTGCTACCACTAACAGTCTCTGCTGGAGAAGACATTTTTGCAGTGTCTTTATTCAGGAAGTGCTGAGTCGCATTTTGGTATGATGGATAAACCTCTCTCGCAGATCAGGGATTTTATATTTCTCCTTCTTGCTGTATGTGAAATAATAAATCAGAGCTGAGTTTTTAATATTGCTCCTTACCAAGGTGCTGACATAACTGAGCTTATGTTTTCTGATCAAATATGAGAGTGATCTAATTTTAGTACTCTGACTGATATCTACTCTTGTATTGTTTGAAACTTAATAGGAGTTAAATCTATTGTAAAGCTCTCTATTCACTTAAATAAATAATCTAATTAAACTCTTAATTGTGTAAGAAATTAGTTGCCTTTTTTCCTTGCATAATTTCTCCAGTCATTTAGCTTTTATCAACCTTGTTACAGCAGTTTTCATCAGTTCCTATTTTTTTACAACTAATGGAGTTCTTGAATGAATAGAGATGGGTTAAATGTTGAGAAGGGAAATAGCAGTATACAGCAAGCCCATAGTTAGAAATTACATTGGAACAGCTCAATGATTGTCAAAACTATATAGGCTGCTGCAAACTTCCAATACCTTGTGAGCATATATTGCTACTGTCATGGGTTGTTAAAGGTGAAGTGATTTGAAAAATCAGTTTACTTCTCATTAGTTATACACTTATTTCCATTTCTAGTTTAGATAATGAAGAAAACTGGATTTCACTTTCTTCAGTCGTCTTATCAGTCTCTGAGAGCATTGCAGAAAATATTTGCTTGAACCTTCAGTTTTTGCTGGAACTTGGAACTGTTTCCTGACAGCTTATTTTTGCGTATGCAAAGTTAGACACATCTTAAATTGATACTGTTAACTAACAATTAAAAATTTTAAAAATGGGTGGTTTAGCACTTGGTTTAATCCATGGTAATTAGTATTGATGACAACTAAGTGTGCAAAAAAACATAAATGTATATAGTCGAAGGTGAAACTCAGCAAACTTGAAAACGGAAAAGTATGTTCTGTAACATTTGAAAGATGAAGGTGTAAGATTAAGTAACCTGTGTTTTTATGGGTTTTTAGGTTAAAAGCTATTTTTAAGTTGTCTAAACCTGATAGTCACCTTTTGTACTTTGTACAAAGAACACTCCATGGCCTTACCTGGCTTCTCCTTCCCTGCTGCCAGCTCCTCTCGTTGCCCCATAGCAATCAAATTGCCAACAGCTTTAACTAGACTTGCTCAGAGCCCATCAATGTTTAACTTTTTTGGAGACACCCTTGAGACTCTCTATGCTGTTGTGCGTTAGAAGGGTTGCACTTGCAGTCCAAATCAGCCTGGAGAATAAATAACCAAATCCAAGAACCTGAAGTATTTTCCCTTAAACAAACCCCAATACAATCCTTCTCCCCACCTGCCAAAAAAACACACAGGAGAAAAACCACCATAGAGATCCCCCCCACACACTCCCATTAGTTAATTTGAGGTTTGCTGCAGTGTAGGAATAAGTTTTGAAGGTTTTAATATTGGCTGTGTTTACTGTAAGCAACCTTATTCTATGAGGAAAATAAAGTAATGTTGTTTAATATAGAGAGCTAAATTTAAGATTTTGTCTTTGTTTTGTGCCATGGCTTGATTTTGCTCATTTTGTATATTCTGTGAGATCTGACAGCCTTTGGCAGAAAAGCAGTGGCCCTAAATTGTTAGGATCGGTGAAGATCCTAATATTCTGAAGATTTCACTGTCTGCTTATAGATGAGTCAATATAGTTCTACACTGACCTGATATTACAGCAGGAAAAGAAACCTATATAAGTAAGACGAGGTATGGGAAACATTATTTTGCAAATAAAAACTGATCTAATTAGTTTTCATGAATGTATTAGTGACATGGCTTTGATGCCTGCTTGTGTCTGAATGAGCATGTTGAATCTGAAGGTACCAATAAGGCGTGTGCTGTGTTGCCCTTGTTCCATGAGGTTGTTTTGTCACATCAGCCTTCCCTGCTTCTCACTGCAAATCCCTCCCTCACCTGAAACATGTTACCATCACCAGTGGGCTGCTTTGGTAAGAGGAGTCATGCATAGTGTCAGGCTTAGTCTCCTGACCAACATCATAACTTGTGGATCTTCTTGGGGACTTCAGCCCCTGCACTGGGGTTGAATGACTAAAATTTGAGAGAAATTACAGTTTTCCAGGTCTCAAAGAGAGATAAGGATTGGATGCATGGACGTTCTGGAGAGTGTTCAGTAGTTTAAGAGGTGGAGGCCAAAGGTATGCCTGGGGGAAAAGCCTGGCCTAGGTTGTCCATCAGTGATGTGACTGGAGCTGAGTTCATAAACAGGTGTTCCTGATGTTGTCTTAGTCTTTTAAATATTAAGGGTATGTATTGTGCTTCTAATCAAAAGCATCACCCTTCTTCCTTCAGAAAAAAAAGAGGAAAATATTTGCAAAAGAGGAGAATGCCTGTCTTGCTCAGGCACCCAGAAATCTCATTTTCTTATTTTTCTTTACCGTTTTAGCTCACTAGAACTAACAAAAAGTCTCTTTTGCATGTGGCTGCACCCTGTATTTACATGGCCAATTGATCCACGTGTAACAAATCATTTCACGGAATCTGTAATGTATTCCCAGAAGTACAGTTACATTAGAGGATCCTGCTCTTAGCAGGGCTGAGTAGGTTTGGTTTGTTGTCAGATGGTTGTGAGGAAATAGAAGGAAAAACGACTCATTTTTTTTTTACTTAGAAGTACACAATTGCAGAGTTTAAAATTAAAAGTTTTGTTATGTGTACACTGTTTAACGCAGTGCTGTGATTCATCAAAACAAAACTGGAACAAATATTTTGAATTTTGTCTCTTTCTAGATAAGCTTTCTGTTATTTTTCAGAAGACAAGTTGTTTCTGTTTTTCCTTCTCAATCAAGTATTTCTCTTTGGAAACAATGGCAGACAGGCCCATAATGTTCAACACCACTTCCAAATCTTCTAGCACTTTGCATTTGATAAGAAAATGCAAGTATAATATGAGTAAGTTTGCTGAATAGATTGATAGCTTTGCAGTAATCTGAAAAGCATGCTTAAGTTTGCTGGAAAGCTGTGTATGTTATGGCCTTAAAATATCCAGAAGAGCTGGGCATCTTCTGCTTCTCAAGTGTGAGTTAGCAAAGTCTCTTTGTGTTGTTTTAAGATTGTAATGTGCTTTTAGTGCTGAAATAGGTCTGTCTATGTTGAAAGCTGACAGATTGATATTCCTTATTAGTGTTGGTTGTGTAGTCTGTGTAAGTTATGAATAGATTGGTGTACTGTGCTTTTTTCATGATTTTCATCAAATGGCTTAATAAAAATATTGAGCTTTCTCAAGGCTTGCTTTTAGAATTTGTGCTTGCTTGAGTCAAAAGAAGTAAAAAGGAAAAGAAGTAAAAGCACATTTGACTTTTGGGTCTTGGTAGGTATTGTTTCTGATTCAAAACTGATGCTCTAATTTAGGGGCTGTTGGTACAGTATTCATACATCAGGAGTGCTGGTAGTCTACACTCTGTGGCTTGCTTGTGGGCATCTGTAAAGATGTTGCATATGTGTCTTGCCTAGTTTTCTGGAGCAAGAGTGTGACACAGGTGGAACAAGAAGTCAGAGTTTTGACTTGGTGACTTCACTGCAGAAATACCCCATTATTTGGCAGTGGTTTTTGTTTCTGTGTATCAGATAGCTTCATACCATTTGTTCTACAAACCAAATCTGAACTCAGCGTCTCTCATGAAGGTAGAGAGAATGCATGGGTCTGTTAGTCTGTCAGCAGCTGGAGTACCAGCAGATCCACCTGTAATGCAGTGAATGGACAGATCTCTTGTTGACCACAGAAGTACTCTCTTCCTGTGCATCTTGAGTTTCTCATTTGGGATGTGGAAGGGTAATGTTTCTTGTTTTGTTTTACTGGTTAAAGGTGTAAGATTTTTAGGCTGTGTCTTATGGTGTGTATGGTCCAGCATTTTGCAGATTAGATATCAATGTACCTGCAGACCTTAAATTTTGTTGTAATGCAAATGATGTCTACATGCAAAAAACTGTCCCACATACTCCACTGAGTAAGAAAGGCTATGTTTAAAGCTGCAGCTTGCCACCTTTTCCAATTACCTCTATTGCTCCTGTCTCATTGTGCCGTGTTCCTAAATTTGATCATGTGTTTTCAGCAGGGTGTAGACCTATTCACTGTACAGGTTGGGGTCTTGTGTCAGTAGCTACAGCTGATGGACAAAAGCCTGTTGAGAATGGATTGTAAAGAGGGGAAGGAACAGTAGGGTGGGTAACACTGGTCACTGTTGCCTTGAGACAGCTGTGTTGAATTTCTGCCTCCACCACTGAATTGCTTGTGTTGAGACTGAGAGATTCTGTTACACCAAACCTTTGCAGCCACCCACTAATTGTGAGTGCTGCACTTTGCCTGGCTTGAGATACCCACACACAAGTTCTGAATTTATGCAACCACAGTTGTTCCACTATGGTGACAGTTTGGTGCAAAATACTGCAAAAGTGCAAGGTACATTAAAAAAAAATAATCAAGGTCTAGGTGATGTAAGCTGAAAATCTAAAATCAGCCAACACTTCTGTCATATCTTTTAATCTCTCTCTGTCTCTTAGTCTCTCTATGCCTCTGTTTTCTGCTGTAAACTGAAGATACCAGTACCACATCAGCTTCTAATGACTCAGAAGATGAAGTTGTTAGTGTTGTGAAGCAGACACTCGGTGGCTAAATAACGGAAAAGATGATGCAGAAACTGGTAGTAAACAGAGCCAAGCAGTGAGCACAGCTCAGTTTGCACACTGGCTTTGTTTGCATAAACACCCTAGCTTTTGGCATCCTCCGACTTCTTGCTGCTTCACCTCACAATCTTAACATTTAAAAGGTATTCTTAAAGCTTACTGCCTAGCTTCTAAAATACCAAACTAAAACCTCAAGAAATTCCACCGTATCAAACCACAAACTTCTCCTGTGAGTCATTAACATGTTGAGACCTCAAGCTGCAGTACAGGTTTCTGTTGTGTGACCCGGGCAGCATGTGCTGTTGTGCCCTGCCTGGACCTGGCACAGAGGCTCTGGAGAAAGGAATCTCTCCCATCAGTGTGTGTTCATCATCATGTGTCAGAGTTTCATGCTGTTTCCGAGAAAGCCCCTGAAGCCAGGAGGGAATACTCGCTGGTGGGAAAGGTCTCTAGAGAGGAACACCTTTAATGTCATTTCCCAGTTGCTTTTGAGACTGGTTTAAGCCATTGCTGCTGGAATAGGAGGAGGTGTAGTGGTCCTGCCTCCTGCCCACCTCAGATGCTTGTTCCCCATGCACATTGCCCTTCTCACTTGCTGGCCCCCCCGTGGAAGAAGTAGTGGCACCCAGAATGAGTTATGCCAGCATCATCTGGGTTGGTTTTTTGGGCTGGGTTGGTTGGTTGGTCCCTGATGCTGTACACGCTTGCTGGACCCGGTGGCAGTGGTAGACAGTGAGAGCACAGAGGCAGGGGTTGCCTTGAGCCTTTTGCTTGAACTCATGGTGAAACTATGTTGTAAGCCTCTACTTGCCATCTGTGAGCAGCAGCTGAGCTTCTTTATTTGCCCAAAAGCAGGTCTAGATTTTCATGAGGATAGCAAAAAAAAACCCAGTTCCCTGTTTCTGCTTTCCTTGCTTTGCTTTCCAGAACCCTTCTCCTGAAAAATTTCCAAACTTCACAAGTGATGTAGTTTCTTAATGGATGACTTTAATGGTACTGGTAAGCCAGCAGGAAACTGAACTGGTCTCAGCTGACACCTTAATGAAAAATAAAATAAAACACTCCCTCTAAAATTTGGCTTAGACCTTTCATTCAGAATGAAAAAAAAAAATTGGTTGAGATTTAAGAAATTAAAAAGGAAGTCCGGAAAACTAAACTTGATTGTAGCTGGCACTGAAAGCTCTGAATGTGTATTTATAGATTTTTGCATATGCATGCTAAATACTGGGAAAAGAAAATTTGGATAATACAAAGAGAATCTGGATATAGACCATGGTGAAAATAGATGCTCTGAAAGGGAGTTAAAATAACATGAAGGAGGAAGGTGTAAGAATGGTATTCCAGCTAACAGGATTGCAAAGAAATACCTGCAAGAATGTTGGTGAAAGTAAAAGAATGGAGAAAGGAGCTTAGTTCTGCTCTTTTGATTTCAGAAAACAACAAATTGTATTTTTATGGAATAGAAAACCATTATAATTGCAGTTAGATATCAGGCTTGAGCTGGAAAGGAATGGTCAATGGTAATGTCAAAAAAATTGAATTCCTATGGAAACAAAAAACATAGCAGTGAACTGGGACTTGAAAACTATATATAAACCAGTTTAGATTTCTTTCAGAATACAGTGAAGTGGAAACAGTGCACGTCTTTCATTTTGCCTCACCTTTACATCTGTATCTTCTTTATTGCTAATTGAGCGTGGAGTAGGAAATGCTACAGAATTTGACATTTGCTGAAGCATGAACTCCAGCGTGTTAGGAAGGTCATGAAGAAAATGGTAGCTGTGAAAAGAGAAACAAAAAGTAAGATTTCAACAGTGTTCTTTCAAGTATTTCTAT